AGATATCCATTTCCAACCTTGGTCCCCCTTGGATTTCAGACCCTATGTGCCCATGATTACTTAACAGCTCTACCCCAGGAGGTGACAAATGCTGCATACTGTGAGCCCTAAATCTTGCCTCCCACTGTCTTCCCATGAGCAAATGTACCTGCCATGTGGCCGTTAGCCCAGGCTGACAGTCACCTGCGATGTGTCTTTCCCTGACACTCATCCATTCATCAGCGAGGGCCAGTTGGCCTTTTACAAAGTACACCCCACTGTGAGCACTTCCAGCCTCATTGTCCTCTCCAGGCACCTCCAGCCACTGCCCTGCCTGCCTTGCTGCCCTGAGGCGGTCCCTTAGCAGGTTCCTTCCTTCTAATCTTGCCACGTTCCTTTCTGTCCTTGGCCAAGCAGCTAGCAAATGAAAATGAAACATGAATCACATCACACTGCCCTGTCCAGTGTTCTTGCATGGCTTCCCATCACATGGAGAAAAACCCCAGCTCCTTCCTGTGGCCCCTACGACTCTGCACAGTCTGTTTTCTGTCCACTTGCCCAACCATATTTTCTAACTGCCCTACCTTTGTTCACTCCCTTCCAGCATCCCTGGCCTTTTTCCTATTTGTCAAGCATACTATAATGTGAGAACATGGGCATATTGAAATGTCAGATCCTGCTGAGAAGAACATAATTAAATCCTAGAGAGAGAAGAGAAATATGGGTGAAACATTCCTGAGCAGTTGGGAGGGGACAAGGTAAAGCCCAGGTAGAGGGGTTGGTTGTAGCCAGTACGAGAGTTACCTCCTCTAGTTCTACAGGAAGAAAGAGACCAGGATGGTACAGAAATAGTTGCTGAAAGAGAAGCCCCAGTGAGGAGACAGGGGAGGAAGGAAGAGTAATTGAGGCAATAAAAACCTAGCTGTAGAATGGCCTAAACTTAGGAGAGGGGATTAATGCTTTGTCATTCATTCCTCTGCTTACTCAACAGATAATTTATTGATCTCTTGGTATTTGCCAGGGACTGTTGTTAGACACTAGTGTTGGTATTGAATTACTTTTGCTTGGCCATTAAACTTAGAAGCAAAAGACATTCATTGAGATCTTAGGAAGTCTCTTTGGGTTCTGAGTTTGTTTCCTTTGTGAAACCAGAATAATAGTGATACCTCCTCTGCTGATCAAAATAGTTAAATATGTGGTGTTATAAAAAGTTCTACATTTGTCAAAAGTGGTAGGGGGTCCCTCGGTGGAGGAAGGGACCATGTCTTTTGTGGGAGCTGTTAAACTGCTGGTACGTGGTCATTTATGGAACGAATGAAGTGGTTTTAAGAAGAAGGTTTTGGTTCCTCACAGATTTTGAGAAGCTACTGGAAATGTTCTTACTGACAAAGTAACCTTATGTCAAGGGAATTCACACCACAGCAGTTGGATTTTGGTTCAGCTAATCAGTCTTAACCACTAGTGCTCCTACTAAGGGAACTTTCTGAAATTACATGATTTCATATTCATCAGAAGCATGATGATCACAGCCGATTAGGCTCCGCTCCTCCCCTCTGATGTCTTCAGTGCCCCTCTCCTTTTACCTGAGGTACCAAGCTGGGCACACACCCTTCCGTGCCTCCAGCTGATAGGTTGGGTACCTTTTTATCCCCCATGCTGCAGGTAAAAGGTTTAAGATTCAACAAGCTCTTGATAGATTGTGAATTAGCTGAAGCAGGGAGGTGAATTTGAATGGGCCTCACTGGGACTCAAGCGCTGAGGTCTGACAAGCAAATGGCAAAGAATGGATGTGAATAGAAAGCCACATGGCTGCTCCTGTGCTAAAGAAAAAGACAGCAAGCCCAGCGCAGTGGTGCACGCCTACAACGCCAGCACTCTGAGAGGCTGAGACAAGAGGATGAAAAGTTTAAGCCCAGCCTGAGTGATTTAGGGACTTAATGAGACCCTGTCTCAGAATAAAAATATAGAAAAGGGCCAGGGATGTAGCGTAGTACAACGACCCCAGGATCAGCCCCCAGTGTTGCCAAAAAAGAAGACATAAACACCCAAAAATATATCCCAGAGACTAAAATCTGGGAAAGACCATGAGCTTTTATCGGGTGATTTTTTTTGCATCAACATTCAAGATGTTTATAATAGGATATGGCTCCCATGATAAAACAGGGGAGTGAGCTCCCCTTTAGAAGTAGAAGTCAGACATGGCCATATTCCTGATACTTGGGCAGTTTCCAACCTCTACATTAGAAGATACTATTCACGCTATGGGCTAGAATCAGAATTTATGTTTCTACAGTAGTCCTTTAGTTCAGCCTTTCCATTTGGTCAAAAGTACAGAACAAAAAAAAATTGCCCTTCTCTAAGAATTGTTGTGAAAATGATCTTGGATACCCAATTTATGTTAAAAACAATTCTGGTATTAATTGGGTGCTATTCAAAGTAATTTACATGCATTATCACATTTAATCTTCATTACAGCCCTGTATGGTATGAATGCTCACTGGCCGTAGTTCTTGAGAAATGAAGGCTCAAAAGCAAATCAGTAAATTCACCGAGGTTCTGTGTGTAATTAGAAATGTTTTTTTAAAAAAATTTTTAGTGCTGTTTCTTGAACTATATCTGTAGCCCTTTTTAAATTTTTATTTTTGGCCACGGAGTCTTGCTAATACACTAAATTGCCCAGGCAGGGGTCAAACTGGGAACCCTTCATCTCTGCTTTTAGATTACAGGTGTGCACTGTCACACCTGACTGTAATCAGAGCTCTTAAAGCCAACAAATCTGATTCCCAAAGCCTGTATTTCTCCAGGCACCCTTCTAACAGACACAGTTAAGTCTGGTGAGTGCCAAACCAGCACACTAACGTAAAGATAATCAAAGCACTTTGGAGAATATGTCATTCCAAGACAAGCATGCTTATTTATGGCCCGGGCTATGGCTTTGATCCGAAAACTCCACACTACCCAACCATTATACATTAACAGGGTCTAGCAATATGAGAATTTCTTTACCAGACAAATTCCTCTGGCTTAATAAAAGTGCTTGCCGTGAAAGCTCAAAACTCAGCAGCAATTAATTATTGACAGAGCATGTGAATTAGAGATAAAAGAAAAATCATTCTTTCTCCATACACGCGATAGTAAATAAATTTAATTATGGTAGGAGAAGCTGAGGGATCTTCATCTGTATTAAGTTTTATTAGCTGAGACATTTAAAAGCATGTCATCATAACAAAGAGGGCTTGTGTAATCCTAAATGTACCACTTTGGTGCAAAGCTTGGAAGTGAATACACTTAAAGGCCCACCTGGTGGCAGATGGCCCACTATACTGACAAGTATTGGGCAGGTTTTTCGTCAGTTAACTTGGTCTATATATGCATACAGCAAACTGACTGCAACTAGGATCTTCAGCCTCCTTTTATCACTGATAGGCCCACTACAGTGGGATTGGGGGGCAACGACATCAAACCCCTTTAGTACCCCAAGTAAGATAAGCCACTCTGAAGGCAAACATCATGAAAGAGCAGAGGTGGAGAAGCACTGTTGTCAGAGGAACCAAGAGACACGAGCCCATGGAATCTGTGTGAATCTGCTTTCTGTTACTATAACAAATACCTGAGATAATCAACTTAACAAGAGGGGAAGTTTATAGTGCCCCTCATTTCAGAGGTCTCAGTCCATGTTTGATAGGTCCCGTTGCTTTCGGGCCTTCAACAGCACTGTGGCAGGAGAACACAGTGGGGGAGGACTGCTTACCCCGTGGGCAGGACATGAAAGTGAGAAAATGGGACGAAGGGACTAGGGTCCCCCTCTCCCCTTCAGAGGCCTCCACAGCCTCAGCTCCTGCCACAAACCACTACCTGTAAAGGTTCCACCACTCCCAATAGTGACAAAGGCTGGGAACCAACCCTTCCACACATGAGACTGAGGGATGTTCCAGATTCATATCATAGCAGGACCTGGATAAACTTACAAGCAAAAGCCGACACAGATCTCACACCGTGAACCAGGTCTGTGTTAGGCACTTTGGCCCTACGTGCCATGTTATTCTCCACCAACCCTGAGCTTTAAATTCTAGGGTTTTGCAAATGAGGATAAGCTTTGCTCTGGGAAGTGATTCAATTCCCAGGTTGTGTGACCTGTCTGATGCCTGTGTCCATTCTCTGTCCAGAGCTTCTCCCTCCTCATCTGCACATTATGACTTTGGGCTAAGTCAGGGAGGGGTCTGAAAACTTTCTCGTAAATGGCCAAGTAGTGAATATATATGAGGTTGTGTGGGCCACAGTCTCACTCCTACTTGTTCACCTCAGTTGTTACAGTGCAAAAGCAGCCCCTGGCAGGACATAAAGATTGAGTGTGGCTGTGTCCGGTGAAGGTTTCTTTGTGACATCGATATTTAAATTTGGTATAATCTTCATGTTATATAATGTTATCATCATCGTTATTGTTATGGTTTTCCCCAACCATTTAAAGATTACAAATCTTTCTTAGCTGTGAGTCACACAAAAGCAGGAAGCAGGTAGTGGTTTGCCAGCCCTAGACTAGATAGTCTGAGCCCCAACATTCTCTAAAAGCCACTACGACAGTAACAAGAGCCTTCGTTTATTAAGCGTTTGCACATGCCAGATTCTGTGCTAAATGCTCTTCCAACATTATCTCCCTTAATCCTTACACTATAATGTGAAGTCAGTGCTATCATTATCTCCATTTCAGAGATTATGAAACTGACGTGGAGAGAAATTAGGGGCGTATCCAGGTTAAATATGACTGTAAGAGGTTGAAAGGCAGCTTAAGTGGAGGGCTGTGAGGTTCCCAAGAAAGAGTGCTCAGCCTTATGCCATCTTTTCTGAAAATTACACAGACAAGACTGTAGTTGTAGCACACAGATCAAATGAACGCCTGAGTGTTTATAAATTTTATGTGGCGAGCCCTCACTAGGTTACTCATGTCACACGTTTTGTGCAAAGGTGTTAAAATGTTTCTGGGTTGGAATAACCATCCTCTTCCCTTTTCCTCCCTCTTCCAGAAATGTGATGCCCAAGACTGTTGATGGGCAGATAACCATGGAGAAGACCCCGAGTTACTTTGTGACGAATGAGGCTCCCAAGCGCATTCACTCCATGGCCAAAGACATCAAACTCATTGTGGTGGTGAGGAACCCCGTGACCAGGGCCATTTCTGACTATACGCAAACGCTGTCAAAGAAGCCCGAGATCCCTACCTTCGAGGTGCTGGCTTTCAAAAACCGGACCCTGGGGCTGATCGATGCCTCTTGGAGCGCCATCCGGATTGGGATCTATGCCCTGCACCTGGAGAACTGGCTCCAGTACTTCCCTCTCTCACAGATTCTCTTCGTCAGCGGCGAGCGACTCATTGTGGACCCTGCCGGGGAAATGGCCAAAGTACAGGATTTTCTAGGCCTGAAGCGTGTGGTGACTGAGAAGCATTTCTATTTCAACAAAACCAAGGGATTCCCTTGCCTCAAAAAGCCGGAAGACAGCAGTGCCCCTCGGTGCCTAGGGAAGAGCAAAGGTCGGACTCATCCCCACATAGACCCTGACGTCATCCACAGACTGCGGAAATTCTACAAACCCTTCAACATGATGTTTTACCAGATGACTGGCCAAGATTTCCAGTGGGAACAGGAAGAGGGTGACAAATGAGGCTAGAGCTGTGGAGGGAAGGCTCATGAATAGCAAGGAGGCCCCTTACCCGAGTCCTAAATTGCCCCAGTTCTGTAGCTTTGTTCTTGCAGGACTGCCAAGTAGATCTCCTCTTTTGTGCAGTCGGGATTGGCTCCAAAGCTATTGGTTTGGGCAGAGGGGTGGATCCCACAGCATCCCCCAAGAAGAACTAGTCTTGATGTCTCTGGTTGACCAGATGGCCTCAGCACCCACCACTAACCTCTAGTTAGTAGAGCCCAAAGACAGAATAGACATTTGTCAATGTCAGAGACAGTGAGTACACAAATATTTGTTTGAGTTGCAAAAGAGAAAGGCCTAACTTTATGGGGCTCCTGTGTTAGTTGAGGAGCTTAGGTTCTAGACCTCTGTCTGGCCTTACTACCTGATGTCTAAACTTCTGCTTTGGCTTCAATCCAGAATGCTGCTTTTGGCTGAGGGTTCCAGGACTCCTAGGGAGCAAGGTCCTCCCTCTAAGGCATTTCTAGCCTTTCATCAAAGGCCTCATCCCATGACCCCAGACTTCCTCCATCCCGACTCTGTGAAAGCAGAGGCATGCACCTATGTTTCTCACCAAAACAATAGCTGACACCCCTGGAAGCTGTCTTTCTAAGAACCCACTAAGGGGACCTCTCTTCCTGAGTATCTGGAATTAAGGAGAAGCTCTGCATATGTCTTCTGTTAGGGTCAGGTCCACAGGGCTGCTCTCAGAATGGGGTGATTTCAGCTGAGTTCAGAGCCCTGAGATCAGTGGAGATAAATGGCTGCATATAAGGGGGGAAGGAAGAAATTGAGCCCTTTGGGAGATCTCCTTTCCCAAAGACCCTCTCCCCCAAGCCTGAGGCATGCTTTTGGAATGGACACTGTCCCCTAGGGTCCCCAAAGAGGCAAAGACCAGTGAGTCGGTGTGTCTGCTGTCCTGCATCACCCCTAGTGATATAGTGGGGAAAAGCAACCACCTTCTACTGTTTGTTTCCCTGACACCCCTCAGGGTCACCTCATGGTTCATTTTCTGTATTCAGAGATGACATCTAATGGGACAGTGGCAAGAGGGCTGATTCCACTTGGCAGATTCAGTTTAAATGGGGGGTGGGAGAGGTCAAGGGCTGTCTTCAGACGCCCCTATCAAGGGCTGCCAAACAATGTGTCCCTTTCCATTAGTTTGAGTCAATTAAAATACAGCATTGGTATAAAGCACTTGTCCACAGATCTCCAAAACCAGGAATTGTTCTGGTAAAATTGGAAATTTGTATGAGTGGGGGGAGTTAAATCTGTTCAACTGTTATTATTAAATTGTCATTTCTCCCGCTAAATGAAAACTGTGTTGTTATAAAGCTTAATGCAACCTGATTAATGGCTTTTGCTGGTGTGTTTGTGCCGATCGATTCCATCCTTATCCCCAACCTGGAATGCTGAGCGCATCTCTGCTCTGGGATGACCAGAAAAGACAGGTTTGAGATTTGGAGAATTCTGTCTTCAAGACAGGATGATCCTTGCCACAGGACAAAGAAAGTGGCTCCGTTTACCCCATCTCAGTCAATCCTGGCAAGGGATTGACTGATAGGCCACGTTCAGAAATATTTTTTTTTCCAAATAAGAAAAACTGAGCTAAAAGCAACAGATATAATTTCAATACCAAAGCAGAAGAAGATATAGAGCAAAATACATGCACAATGTGTTGGGAGGAAGAGAATGAATGCTTGTTAGGAAGGGTGTGCTGCAGGGTTGGCCAGTGTGGGGCCCTGTACACTGAGCAGAGCAAGGAGTGAGCGAGCTTCAGCCCTGGCGCTACCTCTGACTCAGCTCTGGATTTTGTTCAGGTCACAGTTTCCTGGGCACCAGTTCAGACCCACTGAATCTGAAATTTCAGAGTGGGGCTTAAGCATTAAGCCTTTCAAATATATTTTTAGGGAAGCTGGCATTGAGGACTACTGGAGGAAAGTCTTATCTCCATGCTTCTTTCACCCTTTTCTTCCTTCTCATCTTCCCTTCCTATTTTTATGGGACTTATTTCAAAGGCAAGTGGCCAGCAGGGTCTTGTGGCTACCTTGCTGGGGTATTTTCTTTTGGAGTCCAATAGCAACAAAGTAAGGGGTGATTTCATAATTTAGACAGAGAGCACATTGTCTGCTTGGAGAAAAGCTTTAAGAATGTTGAGTATTGGCTAAGAATGACCATTCTCCAGCCCGGCCTCCGCTCTTCCCTTATAGGGGAGCACACATCCATCTAGCCCTCCTTCAGTCACACTTAGCTCTCTGTTCCTCTTTTCCTGGGCTCCCTGGCCCCACGAATCCAAAACATCAACACCCTAAGCACTCATTCCAAAGAAAGCTGGCAAACGTGTGTCCTCACATAACTATGACAAGAAAGCCCATTCTTCAGTATGATTAACCAGTGGTGAAAAAGCCATTTGCCCCTGGGAATAAGAGTAAGGAAACCTTTCCCTCCTGCATCATTCACACATCCTTGCCTAGAAATGGAGGCTAAAATTCACTAAAGGAAAAACACATCTGAGCCTTTGAATCTTGAGGATTTTTATTTTTAAGAGTTTTATTTGGCAAGCTGGTTGGAAGCTCATGGTTCCAAAATGAAAGGCAAACTTGACAAGTGTGAGGGCTCTTTTCATCCGTGTTTACTCTGGCCTGATCCTTGTTACTCAGTGAGCCTCCGAGCCACCTTCCCTTTGTCACTGCAGAGGCTGGATGAAGGAATCATGTTGTATACAGGAAAGCTAAGTCAATTTGCTGAGATAGGTTGATAATACGTCTGCTCCATTTGAACGTGAGCATTGAGCACGGCAACTCATGGGAGATTGAAAATTAAAGCATAAATTATGTTTAATTTTCTATTCTCCTCCCTTCCCTCAATTGGATGATTCATGGCTCTGGAAAGGCTACTGAATATGCTTCAGAGATGAGAAAAGAAGAATTCATCGTCCAAAAGGTGTAGCTGTCGCTGTTCCCATATTCATCTGTTTTTTTTTTTTTTTTTTTGAAGAAATCACACCTTGACATTGTAGCTTGGACCTACCAGCTCCCAGCACAACAGCTCTAATAACAGAATCATTCAACAGTCCCGTTTATCTGTGCATGGCAACTGTGACTTCAGAATGGCAAAGGTGTGGCTGTTCATGGGATTCCCTGCAACCTGCAGAAGAGCCTCAGATGAAGTTCTAAATCCAGCAGAGGGTGGCCTGTCGGGGCCCATCGAAATGGCAGTCCCGGTCAGAGCTTCTCTGACGCCTCACTCGGCTCCGTGGTTCTCCCAGTTTCTTCACTTTCTTGTCCCCTCCCACTTGTCCACCCCATCGTTTTCCAGAGGAAAACTCTCCCTTGCCCCTCTTGCTGTCAGAAGAGCTAACTGGGTTTTATCCTCGCCTGTGTCCATGTCTTGGGAGAGTAGAATTACCATTCTGGACTTGTTTCGTATCTATGAGTATGTTTAATCCCTACCTGGTGAATCACCCAGAGTTTCTGTGATGGTCAAAGTGAGCTCTAGATGGAAAGCCTTTGGAAGGAGTAAAGGGCTCCATCAACACAGATGATGGCGATGATGACAATGACAGTGGTGGTGGTGCCAGTGCTACTGATGCTGCCATGCCGGTGATGATGAAAACGGCCGTGATGATGGTGGTGGTGATGGAGGTGATGATGATCATGAAGAAGATTAAGGAGGAGGAGAAAGAGAAGGGTCACAATACTCCTTCCAGGACAGTATGCCTTGACAGAGTTCCAAGAGGGTATCTTCCGGTGATTCCACCATCTTACTCAGATTGATTAATTGTGAGAGTGCCCAAAGAAAAAGAAACACTATCGATTTGCGTATAACCACACTCTCTGTACCACACTCTCTGTAATGACAGTTAATTTTGCACATTCAAAAACAAATCCTTCTCCCTACCAAGGAATGGGGTCCTCCTCCCAGTGCATTCAGAGACAGAGGCTTCTCTCCCTGCCCTATCCTTTACACTCAGGGACCTTTTAGATATAACAAGGCTCAAGGATTCAAGCACACAGGGCCAACCAGTATCTCCTGAGATGGAAGTGAGGATTAAATTTGCAAGGTCCCAGGCTATGAATTCAGTGCGTAAAGTTCTCGCTTTTAAAATTTTACGCCAAAGACAAAGCTGACTAAGAACCAAAGCCATGCCAGAGGGGGGCAGTTCTCACGTTTCTACAAATAAATTGAGGTTGAGGGTTTTCCTTGTGTTCTTCTAGAAACAAATGAAGGTGGGGAGAGATGAGTTCACATTTTCCAGTTTCCTATAGGAAATTTTCATTTTCAGACATAGGAGATGCCCGAGTCCCTTTCAAATATTGTGAAATATCTTACAAGACAAGGTAATGAAAACATGTCATATGTCATCAGGGCCGGAAAGGAAGGTTAAAAAAAGAATGAATCACTAGTGTCCCTGGATGTGGAAAACAACAGGGTTCTTAAAGATAATTATGTTTCACCCAGTCTTGTATCCCACATATATCTACAGAGTGACTAGGTGGCAATTGAAAGAGACACAGGAAATAAGAGAGACCTGAGTTGCCTTGGCAGGACTCTCAGCTCAGTGGGGAAGAAGGACATGGAAATGCATACAGCAAAGGATGCTCAGAATTATGAGAGGGATGCACAGCAAACCCACAGGGGAGAGCCAATCGGGGGAAACACTTAAGTCTACAAATGCAGTTCAGCAGCGTTTGCCTCATACCACATCATGATAGAATTGATGGGCTCCAGAATCAAGCTACAGAGCAGGGTGGTGGTGTTATGGTGTGCTGGGTCCCAGAGGATTCCCCTAAGTACTTCGTGTGCTGAACAAAGAATTGGACAAGACACCCGGAAAAGGTAGTGGGGCTTGCATTTATTGAGAGTGAAAAGGAAGCATGCTCTGCAGAGAGCCGGCCAGTAAACAGACTCCCTGCACCTCAAGGATGAGGGCAAGGAGTCTTTTGTGTGCGCAACTCCTGGGCTGGCTTTTCTCTCATGCAGATATGGCATCAGGATGGTTGTCCTATCAACAATTCACTTGGTCTGGTGCCAGGTTTAAACAGCTCTGTAGGAAGATTCAGGCTTCATCCGGATGTAAATTGAAGACTTGGAGATAGCACTTTTCTCACTGGTTCTGTGTCCGCTGCTCAGTGATAGTCAACCTGGATCTTAGGTTCTAAGCATATGCCCTGTGTTTCCATGACTTTGACAAATTCTGCCCAGTTGTTTGACTGATTTCTGCTCCAGTCCTTCGGGGACACTAAAACAAATGAGAAATGTAAAGTCTAAGACCTAGGAATTAAGAAGGTCACTAGACATAGATTGGGGATAAATAGAGTAGCACGCATGCAAGACATTATTATCATTATTATCTCTCCTCAGAAGAAAAAATCCCACATTTTTAAGTGAACATACTCAGTTTGCTAATGGGGA